AATGAAGAAAAACACAGGAGCGGATTCAATGATGTCTTGAAGCGAGTCGGGAAATGGGACAAGTTTGTTCTATCCACTAACTTGTATAGGCGTATAGGAGGAATGCGAATATGTGCTGTATACAGGTCCCGCTGGGTTGTTGGCAAGAGTGATTTTCATTTGGCTCTCAAGACTGACATTATTATTGGTTCCCAAATTAACGAAGTCGTCTACATTGTAAATTGTAATTCCGACTTGTAACTGTCAACAGTGACGTGGGTCAAGACGGTTATGCTCTGACTGTTTGTGTGATAACAGGAGATACTTCGTTCGATTGTGCGCTCTTGTAAAGTATTGTGCCTGAATGGTTCAGTTCTGCGGCTCTTATTATCTTCTCCAACATCAGATAAAAGGGAAAGATCGTCTGGTGTCAAACGGCTCGGAGGTCCTTTCCAATTCTGACGGAGCTGGTGGTATTGCTCAACGTCATTTTACATAGCCGTATTAGTTTCGCGTGGATGCCAAATTTAGACATTGCGACATAAAGACAACTTCGTGCCATCGAATCCGACTTTGAATAGATGGTATGTGTCGATCCTATTCTCGCGAGTCTTTTCCCAGATTTCGCGTATTGTGAATACCTGGACTTTGGTGGATTTTCCAGGCCTAAAGCCACACTGATAAGGTCCAATCAATTCGTTGGCGGCTTCAGTCTTTCGCACAATACACTCGATAAGACCTTGTAACCTATGCTTAGAAGGCCGATCCCGCGGTAGTTGGCGCGTATGGAAGGGTCGCTTTTCTTGTGGATTGGGCAGAGCACACTTCAATTTCAGTCATCGGCCATGCGTTCATCTGACCATATTCTGCATAAGAGCTAATGCACGTACCTTGTCAGCTACTCTCCGCCATACTTGAACAGCTCGGCTGGCAGGTCGACAGCTTCACCAGCTTTGTTGTTTTTTAGCCGCATAATCGTTATTCGTACCTCGTCATAGACAGGCGGTGGGACACCGACTCCATTATAATCGACTGGGGGCTGGAACCTAGTACTTTCAGTGCTGCTGCAGTGGAAAATTGTTCTCTCCATAATATAAGTAAGTTTTGGACAACGGTCACCAGGCCGCCATGGTTGTTCCCACGGGGGGCTCTATGATAAAATTTTTCGAGCGTTTTCCCCCGTCGGCCATCACCTCGAGCTCTTCGCACTCGCCTCTTTCTTCTTATTGTGGCAAATACGTCTAGCTTCCCTCTTCAGTTCCCTTTAACTGTCCCACATGTTGCGTTGCGCCGATCGCAGCGTGGCCCTGTAGCCGACATTTTTTTCCCTTCAGCTTGTTTACAATCCTCATCGTACCAGTCGTTCTTTCGAGCTCGCAGAAACCCGACTACTTCTTCGACGGCGGTACTCGATGAGCGGGAAATGTGGTTATACTGATCGCGTATGTCGGTCTGTTGAAGAGTGCTCTCAGAGAGCAAGTGTGAGAGTCGATTGGCGAATAAATTGGTCGACTGTTGTGATTACAACTTTTCGACGTTAAGCCTTGGCTACAACAAGATAGTGTTCTGAATCGACATTTGGCCCTCTGAGTGTACGTACGCGTAAAAGCCTTCCGTCTTTCAAAACATGGGCTTGATGCATCTCTTTACGTTAGAACCTTGTACTAAATAATCCTATGTTTCGGGCACCGGCGAAGTCAATCCACCTTGGAATTGAAATCGTCAAGCACGATTTTGATATTGTGTCTGGGGCAGGGCTCGTATGTGCGCTCCAAGCGCTCATAGAAGAGATCCTTGGACGCCTTAATACGGATTATGGCTAGACGTTCGTCCACCGGGCTGAACACCAGTACTCGGCGACGGAGTCTCTCTCCCACCATGAATCCAACACCGAATTTGCGCTCTTCTCCGTGGAGTTTCTCGAGGACATCAATAAGCCGGCCAGAGGCACCTTCCCCATTAAGGGTCCGGATATTACAAGCGCATACCGTCAAATCATAGTCCTTTATACGTTTGCCGTGGTCGTCATCAAAAGAAGGGGGTCTCATCCGAGGCATGTTTTTCTTTTTCATTGGGCGGGGTTGTTTGGCCGCCCGCGAGGTTTTACGCCTTCTCGCTTTGACCCTTCTGCGAACGGTACCATCCTCCTGTTACACGTTTAGGTTTAACTTTCCATTTTCTGACAGTGATTTAATAAGAATTGGGTTTTCTTCAGGTATACAACGGGCTGCAGGTATACAACGACGACGGCTTAATTTAGCCAATGAACGGGAAAACTCTTCCGGCCTGTGAAACGAGGATTGTTGGCCATCCTATAACAGAAAACCGAATTCTGGGCCCTTCAGTTTACTTATAAGGACTTTTATTGGCTTACAGACACAGTCTCTCAAACATGTATAAAAAACAAAGAGCAGAGACAAACATTCATACAAAACTATAAATAAAAAATATAAAGAGAACATAAATGAGAGTAAGCTACTTTATCGTACATGAGCCATTATTTTTCAAGTCTCACGAATTTCGTAAAAAAATTATGTCATGTCTCCGATTCGTTTAAAAATTTTTATTACACGTATTCGAGTAATTTATTTTTATTTTTTTACTTCGGGGATATGATCTGCCAAACTTCTTGATTCTGACCATTCATGTACTTTTTCAAATCGTTATATCTCGGGTTCTGCTCATCGAAGAGACTTCATCTTAACGTCGTTTTAAAGCTAAAGAAACGGGCTTAACATTTCAATATATAAGATGGTCAAGCTAACTTAGCAATTAACAGTTGAACTTATTGAAGTTGGTTTGCATAGTGAAGACCAGTAAATTAGGGATTTAAAATTACACCATCGTAATCCTTGTTTAAAAAAAAGGGCGATATGTAAAAGAAAGCAAACCAAAATTTTTTGCCAGCATTGATAATAACTTTGTAATATCCATATCAAATGTATGTCATATGCATAAGTGACGCGTGCTTCAAATTTTCTTTTTCGTGTTTTTAATAGACCACCAGTTTAAAAAATACTGTTTTCAATCTCAAATAGATAGAAGTTAAAATAAAAAAATAGCCCATAATATAAAAATAAATTTACCTCGATTATCATTATTTGACGTTGAATCGTTAATAAGAGATGATCTGTCCATTGTCGAACGTCCCAACCACACCCAGTCGTGAACATTGGTTGTAGATTCCTTCGGGAAACGTAATTCCTTTGACAACATGTTGGGAGTGATGATAGCTTTGCTCAATTCTAAAGGACCAGTGTCAATGGCTCTTGGTCTGAATTTCGACGCATATACAACACATGAAATGACAAAAACGACGATCGCAAAGCAAAAAGCAGTAAGGAGGACATAAACTCCGATTTCCATGGACGACATGTTATTGCGGAAAGGATACCTGCTATTTCGGTAGTTTTTCAAGGATTGAGTGCTTCCATGATTCTGCCTTGTTTGCATCAAAACAGACTCGTCATTGTGATGTGCATATTTCATAGGAATACCTACTACGAAAACGTGTTTAATAATTTTAAAATAAAAACTTGAAAATAAATTTATTTACCAATGATATCAGCTAAATCCCCATTGTCGCGAAAGCTTTTTCTGTCCTTGCCAACAATTCCATCATTTTGAATAGATTCGAGTTTGTTACTGTTATCAAAATTATTGAAGTCAACCTCAACAGCCGCCAGGGAACTTATTAGGGGGGAAAAATTGGACTTCATATGTTTAGATGATGCCAAACTTCGTCGCATGCGGCAATCTTCGGACAAGAGCAAAGTTACACGCAACAAATCTCCATTTCCTTCCCCAACTGCGATGACACGCGGGTGATGCGATGCTAACATTGGAGCAAATGCAACGACTTCGGTGTCTAAACTCTCGACCAGCAGGAAATAATCTTCCACCGAGATGTCTCTGAAAAGTTGTGTTTTATGTTAAAATAAAAAAGATTATAATTTTATTTTGAGTTTTAGTACTTTTCTTTGTTTATTTGTAGAGAAACATGAAAAAGTGCAATATATCGAGGGATGTTTTTGAAAAAGCCCAGCGATAAATTTCTTTCATTACATATGTATATTTTTTTTCTGAGCTTATAATATATCATTTTTTTGCGTATACGCGGTATTGCACGCCAAGCGACGATAAGTTTATGTAATATATCCACCTGATATACTGTTTTCCACCACTCATGTTAGGAAGCTAGAGCGCGTGCAAAGGGCAGCCCTCGTTGGGATCAGCGGGGCGCTCCGAACCACCCCCACCTTAGCCCTAAACGCTATACTCAATGTCGCACCTGTCGACATTTCGGGCAAAGTAGCGGCGGTTCGCTCAGCCATTAGGCTCAAAAGCTCTGGGTTCTCTTTCAATCCAGCGCACGGACACTCGACAATTCTCGAAAGCTTCGACTTCGTGCCGAAAGAAATGGACCGGAGTCACCCGAGGCTGGCCCCTAAAGGATCCTTCTCCACGCACATCCCCTCAAGGGATGAATGGAAGAGGGGTAGTCTCTGGAGAAGAGGTCCAATAAACATCTTTACGGACGGATCGAAGCTGGAAGGGAGAGTTGGAGGAGGTGTCTACTGTCAGGAACTCTCAGTAGATCTTACTTTCAAACTGCTGGATCTCTGCAGCGTCTTTCAGGCAGAGGTGGCCGCTATAAAGGAGGCAGCCGATTGGCTACGCACCAATGTATTGTCAAAAAGGAGGGTAAATATATATACTGATAGCCAAGCGGCAATCAGGGCGCTGGGATCGCTAATGGTGTGTTCAAAACTGGTTGGGGAATGCCTGACCTCTCTCTCAACTGCCTCGGAGTACTTCCAGATCAAGCTGATTTGGGTCCCGGGGCACA